ATGACCCCCCCAAGCCCCCCGAAGCCCCCCAGGCCCACCGGGCAGGGGGCTGCGCTGGATGAAGGAGCGGAAGGTTTCCCGCGTCCGCTTGCGCTTCTCCTCGATGCACTGCAGGTCCCCTGCACCAGTAACACCAGTTAGCGCCCAGTCCGCTCCCAGTTAGGGCTGCCACCTGCCCGAGACCCCCAGGGACCCCCCCAGTGAGCTCCCAGTAACAACCAGTCACACCAGTGAGCTCCCAGTGACAACCAGTCACACCAGTGAGCTCCCAGTGCCCCACAGCGAGCTCCCCAGTGATCTCCCAGTCACACCAGTGACCCCCCAGTAACAACCAGTTACCCCCAGTGACCTCCCAGTCACACCAGTGACCCCCCTAGTAACAACCAGTTACCCCCAGTGACCTCCCAGTCACACCAGTGACCCCCCTAGTAACAACCAGTTACCCCCAGTGACCTCCCAGTCACACCAGTGACCCCCCTAGTAACAACCAGTTACCCCCAGTGACCTCCCAGTCACACCAGTGACCCCCCTAGTAACAACCAGTTACCCCCAGTGACCTCCCAGTCACACCAGTGACCCCCCTAGTAACAACCAGTTACCCCCAGTGACCTCCCAGTCACACCAGTGACCCCCCTAGTAACAACCAGTTACCCCCAGTGACCTCCCAGTCACACCAGTGACCCCCCTAGTAACAACCAGTTACCCCCAGTGACCTCCCAGTCACACCAGTGACCCCCCTAGTAACAACCAGTTACCCCCAGTGACCTCCCAGTCACACCAGTGACCCCCCTAGTAACAACCAGTTACCCCCAGTGACCTCCCAGTCACACCAGTGACCCCCCTAGTAACAACCAGTTACCCCCAGTGACCTCCCAGTCACACCAGTGACCCCCCTAGTAACAACCAGTTACCCCCAGTGACCTCCCAGTCACACCAGTGACCCCCCTAGTAACAACCAGTTACCCCCAGTGACCTCCCAGTCACACCAGTGACCCCCCTAGTAACAACCAGTTACCCCCAGTGACCTCCCAGTCACACCAGTGACCCCCCTAGTAACAACCAGTTACCCCCAGTGACCTCCCAGTCACACCAGTGACCCCCCTAGTAACAACCAGTTACCCCCAGTGACCTCCCAGTCACACCAGTGACCCCCCTAGTAACAACCAGTTACCCCCAGTGACCTCCCAGTCACACCAGTGACCCCCCTAGTAACAACCAGTTACCCCCAGTGACCTCCCAGTCACACCAGTGACCCCCCTAGTAACAACCAGTTACCCCCAGTGACCTCCCAGTCACACCAGTGACCCCCCTAGTAACAACCAGTTACCCCCAGTGACCTCCCAGTCACACCAGTGACCCCCCTAGTAACAACCAGTTACCCCCAGTGACCTCCCAGTCACACCAGTGACCCCCCTAGTAACAACCAGTTACCCCCAGTGACCTCCCAGTCACACCAGTGACCCCCCTAGTAACAACCAGTTACCCCCAGTGACCTCCCAGTCACACCAGTGACCCCCCTAGTAACAACCAGTTACCCCCAGTGACCTCCCAGTCACACCAGTGACCCCCCTAGTAACAACCAGTTACCCCCAGTGACCTCCCAGTCACACCAGGGTATCGGAAGTCGACGGGCGCGCTGCGCTGGCGGTCCGAGGGCCGCTGCAGCTCCATGCGCACGGTGACCGGGGCGCGCAGCGCGGGGTCCCGGAAGGGCGGCGTGCGGAACACGATGGCGACCTGGCGGTGAACGTCGGCCTGCGCGAAGGAGCCCTTGGCCTCCCAGCCCTCGGCCGAGAAACGCACCTCGATGTCCTCTGCGGGGACAGGGACACCGTGGGGACAGGGACAGGGACAGGGACATGGGGACAGGGACAGGGACATGGAGACACCGCGGGGACAGGGACAGGGACACGCTGGGGACATGGCACAGGGCATGGAGACACCGCGGGGACAGGGACAGGGACACCCCTAGCCCCCTCCCCAGGCCCACCCTGGTGGGGCAGGTATCGGAAGTCGACGGGCGCGCTGCGCTGGCGGTCCGAGGGCCGCTGCAGCTCCATGCGCACGGTGACCGGGGCGCGCAGCGCGGGGTCCCGGAAGGGCGGCGTGCGGAACACGATGGCGACCTGGCGGTGAACGTCGGCCTGCGCGAAGGAGCCCTTGGCCTCCCAGCCCTCGGCCGAGAAACGCACCTCGATGTCCTCTGCGGGGACAGGGACACCGTGGGGACAGGGACAGGGACAGGGCACAGGGCACAGGGACACAATGGGGACACCGCGGGGACAGGGACAGGGACAGGGACACGCTGGGGACATGGCACAGGGCATGGAGACACCGCGGGGACAGGGACAGGGACATGGAGACACCATGGGGACAGGGACAGGGACACGCTGGGGACAGGGACAGGGCACAGGGCATGGGGACAGGGACATGGGGACAGGGACAGGGACATGGAGACACCGCGGGGACAGGGACAGGGACACGCTGGGGACACCGCGGGGACATGGGGGTGGGGACAGGGCATGGGGACACCACGGGGACAGGGCACAGGGACACCTGGGGACACGGGACAGGGCACAGGGACATGGAGACACCACGGGGACAGAGACAGGGACACGCTGGGGACACCGCGGGGACAGGGACAGGGCATGGGGACAGGGACACACTGTTTCAGGGTGTCCCGGTTTCGGGGTGTCCCAGGTTTCAGGGTGTCCCCTTTTGGGGTATCCCGGTCTCTGGGGTGTCCCTGTCTTGGGGTGTCCCTGTCTCGGGGTGTCCCGGGTTTCGGGGTGTCCCATTTCGGGGTGTCTCAGTTTCAGGATGTCCCAGTTTTGGGGTGTCCTGGTTTCAGGGTGTCCCTGTTTTGGGGTGCCCCAGGTTTTGGGGTGTCCCATTTCGGGATGCCCCAGGTTTTGGGGTGCCCCATTTCGGGGTATCCCGGGTTTCGGGGTGCCCCGGGTTTGGGGTGCCCCGGGTTTCGGGGTGCCCCATTTTGGGGTGTCCCATTTCGGGGTGCCCCGGGTTTTGGGGTGCCCCATTTCAGGGTGTCTGGGTTTCGGGGTGCCCCATTTTGGGGTGTCCCATTTCGGGGTGCCCCGGGTTTTGGGGTGCCCCATTTCGGGGTATCCCGGGTTTCGGGGTGCCCCGGGTTTGGGGTGCCCCGGGTTTCGGGGTATCCTGGGTTTTGGGGTGTCCCGGTTTTGGCATGTCCCATTTCGGGGTGTCCCATTTCAGGGTGTCCCGGGTTTCAGGGTGCCCCGGGTTTTGGGGTGCCCAGGGTTTCGGGGTGTCCCATTTCGGGGAGCCCCGGGTTTCGGGGTGCCCCAGGTTTTGGGGTGCCCCATTTCGGGGTATCCCGGGTTTCGGGGTGCCCCAGGTTTCAGGGTGTCCCGGGTTTCGGGGTGCCCCATTTCGGGGTATCCTGGGTTTCGGGGTGCCCGCACCTTTCTGGACCTTGTCGCACAGCAGGAAGATCTCGTCCCCGCCGCGGCAGCTCCCGGAGTTGCGGTTGACGCGGCAGATGCGCAGCTCGGCCGTGCTGGGGGCACCTGGGGACACCGCGGGGACACCGGGGTCACCGCGGGGTCAGCGGGGACGTGGGGACACCGTGGGGTCATACATGTGTCACACAGGGGTCCCACAGGTGTCCCCTGGGTTGTCCCACAGATGTCCCCAATGTCCCCAATGGGGACACCGGGGTCACCGCGGGGTCACCACGGGGTCATACATGTGTCACACAGGGGTCCCACAGGTGTCCCCTGGGTTGTCCCACAGATGTCCCCAATGTCCCCAGAGCTGTCCCCGCTGTCCCCAGAGATGTCCCCAGTGTCCCCAGGGATGTCCCCAGCTGTCCCCAGAGATGTCCCTGGTGTCCCCCGCTGTCCCAGCTGTCCCCAGCTGTCCCCAATGACCCCAGAGATGTCCCTAGCTGGCCCCAGTGTCCCCAGTGTCCCCCCGCTGTCCCCACTCACGGTTGTCGTAGATGGGCTGGGACAGGACGGGGGGGAGGGGCCGCAGCCCCCCCGGGCCCCTCACCCACACCTGGAAGCAGAGCCTGACCGCGGCCAGGTCGTACTCGCCGCCGCGCTGCTCCGCCGGCACTGCCCAGTATGAACCAGTATGAACCAGTATAAACCAGTATGAACCGGTATGAACCAGTATAAACTGCTATAAACCCCTATAAACCAGTATAAACCAGTATAACCCAGTGACACCCCCAGTGACACCCCCAGGTTGTACTCGCCGCCCCACTGCTCCGCCGGCACTGCCCAGTACGGACCAGTATATCCCAGTACACACCAGTGACATCCCCAGCAGCACCCGGACCCCTCCCAGTAACACCCAGTGCCCACCAGTCCCCCTCCCAGTAAAAACCAGTGCCTCCCAGTCCCTCCAGACTCTTCCCAGTGCCCTTCCAGTCCCTCCCACTCCCTCCCAGTCCTTCCTAGTCCTCTCCCAGTCCCTCCCAGTAACTCCCCCATTCCCTCCCAGTCGCTTCCAGTCCCTCCCAGTCCTTCCCAGTCCCCTCCCAGTCCCTCCCAGTAACTCCCCCAGTCCCTCCCAGTCCCTCCCAGTGCTCCCAGTCCCTCCCAGTGCTCCCAGTACCGTTGAAGGGGTTGTTGTTGGTGCGGATCCGCTCGGCCACGGCCGCCTCCAGCTCACGCTTCTTCACGCACTGAATCCCCAAATTCTGGAAACTGACCCCAAAATCGGGGGGGGTCAGGGGTCAACCTGGATTTTGGGACCCCCCCCGGCCCTTCCAGGGCGGGGACCCCAAATTTTGGGGGTTCCCCGGACTCCTGGGAGGGTCCCGTATTTTGGGAGTCCCCCCCTTTTTTTGGGTGATTCCACCTGAGCTCCCAGGGGTTCCCCAATATTCTGGGAGATACCACCTGCCCCGGAGGGGGGTTCCCCAATCCTACTGGTGATCCCACCTGCCCTTTTGGGGGGTTCCCCCTCTTTTGGGGGGCTCCCCAATTTTGGGGGGGTGGTCCCCATTTTGGATGATCCCACCTGCCCTGGAGGGGGGTTCCCCAATCCTATGGGTGATCCCACCTGCCCCGTGGGGGTGTCCCCAATCTGGGGGAGGGTCCGGATTTTGGGGGGG